GGAATTACAGGCACACGCTACGGCCCGGCTGATTTTTTGATTTATTGTAGAGATGAGGTCTCGCTGCCAAGGCGGGTCTCAACCATCCACTCACCTCAGCCTCCCAAAGGCATGGGATTACAGCCTGAGCCACCGAGCCCGGCTTATTGTTATTTTCTGAGTTGAGATTCATATAATATAAGCTTAGCCTTTTTTTTTTGTTTTGAGTTGGAGTCTCACTCTGTCATCCAGGCTGGAGTGCAGTGACACACTCACAGCCACCCCAGCGTTGACTTGCTGGGCTCCAGCGATCCTTCTGCCTCAGCATTTCAAGTAGCCAGAACTACAGGCGCACACTATCATGCCTGGCTAGTTTTTGATTTATTGTAGAGAGGAGGTCTTGCCAAGTTACTGGGCTAGTCTCGTACCCGTGGGCTCAGGCAATCCACTTGCCTCGGCCTCCCAAAGTGTTGGGATTACAGGCTAAGCCACCAAGCCTGACCAAACAACCTTTAAAGTGAACTATTGAGTGGATTGCCTGAGCCCACGGGTTCAAGACCCGCCTGGGCGGCGAGACCTCATCTCTACACTAAAACAAAAAATCAGCCAGGCGTGGTAGCACATGCCTGTAATTCCGGCTACTTGGAAGGCTGAGGCGGAAGGATCGCCGGAGCCCAGCAGGTCAAGGCTGCAGTGGCCGGGAGTGACCACTGCACTCCAGTCTGGGCGACAGAGTAAGACTCCAACTCAAAAATAAATAAATAAATAAATATATTTATTATAGCGACAATAAATATAAAGAACTATTTTTGAGTAGGAGTCTCACTATCACCTAGGCTAGAGAGCAGTGGCACACCCAACCTGCAGCCTCAACCTGCTGTGCTCAGGTGATCCTTCTGCCTCAACCTTCTAAGCAGCTGTAACTACAGGCATGCGCCACCACGCCTGGCTAATTTTTTCATTTATTGTAGAGACAAGGTCTCACCAAGTCACCCAGCCTGGTCTGAAATCCTCAGGCAATCCTCTCTCCTCCGCCTCCCAGAGTGCTGGGTTGACAGGCCTGAGTCACTGCACCTGGTGAGTCTGGTATTTTGAAAAGTAAATCTGGCTGAGGCTGGGCTCGGTAGCTCAGCCTGTAATCCCAGCACTTTGGGAGGCCGAGGTGAGTGGATTGCCTGAGCCCGTGGCTTCGAGACCCGCCTGGGCAACTTGATGAGACCTCATCTCTACAATAAATAAAAAATTAGCCGGATGTGGTAGCGCACACCTGTAGTTCCACCTACTCAGAAGGTTGAGGCGGAAGGATCGCCGGAACCCAGCAGGTCAGGGCTGCAGTGACTGGGAGCGGCCACTGCACTCCAGTCTGGGCGACAGAGTGAGACTCCGACTCAAAAAAAAAAAAGAAAAGTAAATCTGTGTGACAGGACAGTGTGTGAGGGTGGAGAGAAACGGTGCTGGGAGGTTGCCCAGCTAATTTTTTGATTTATTGTAGAGACAAGGTCTTGCCAAGTTGCCCAGGCTGGTCTCGAACCCCTGGACTCAGGCCATCCTATTGCCTCCGTCTCCCAAAGTTCTGGGATGACAGGTGTGCACCACCACGCCTGGCTAATTTTTTCATTTATTATAGCGACAAGGTCTCGCCAAGTTGCCCAGGCTGGTCTTGAACCCCTGGGCTCAGGCAAACCTTTCACCTCTGCCTCCAAATTGCTGGGATGACAGGCGTAAGCCACCATGCCCAGCTAACTGCAAATATATACATATATATTTTTTGAGTTGGAATCTCACTCTGTCGCCCAGACTGGAGTGCAGTGGCCGCTCCCGGCCACTGCAACCTCGACC